GGAGGAGAGGGTACAGTTTTGGCAGGCAGATTATATTTTCAACTTAATTTGGTTTTTCCAAATAAAGAAGAAACTCACAAAGAAAAACACGTTTCAGGAACATGTCAACACTCGAAAGCCTGTTGACAAAAATAAGGGATAAAATGAGTATCCTCAGAATTTTCCATCAGCAGAAAAAACAAAGATAAACTAGAGAAATTGCATTTCCTGTGAAAATGCAATGTGAATGCTTATTGCAGAAGAACTTGATGAAAAACAGCTGAAATTAGTTAAAAACATGCTGAAATGCAGTTGAAGAACAAGCCTAAATTAGCTGGAAAAAGCAGAACAAACACATATTTGCTGAATTAGGTTTAAATAAGCAGAAATGAGTGCAAAAATTAGGAAATGAGCTAAAAACAGCTGAAATTAGCTAAAAGTACCTGAAAAGAGACTGAAAACTCAGAAGTTTAAACCACCAGAAGGCAGTGGACAGAGCTGAAATGAGCTAAAAAAATGTGGAATCAGATGAAAAAGCTAAAAATAGCATAAAACAACTAAATAGAAGCTGAAATTGCAGAAAAAGCTAAAAGGAGTATAGCAAGCTTAAACTAGCATAAAGATGATAATTAGGCTGCAAGTAGCAGAAATTACTGCAAAAAACTAATTTATCTGAAAACAGCTAAAATTAGCTAAAAGCTAAAAGGCTAGCTAAAAAATAACTACTAGCTTAAATTAGCAGACAGTAGTAGAGAAAGGACTTTTTTTTTTTTGCTGAATTAGGCTTTAAAAAGTTGAAATGAGTGCCAAAAATGTGGAATTACCTGAAAATGCTAAATTTAGCATAAAGCCAGCTAAATAGTAGCTGAAAAATCTGAAACTAGCAGAAATAAAATGAAAGGACTGTAACAAGCTGATATTAGCAGAAAGTAGTTAATTAGGCTGAAGGTAGCAGAAATTAACATGAAAAACTTGAATTTATCTTAAAACAGCTGAAATTAGCTAAAAGTGCTGAAAAGGTAGATCAAGCTTAAATTAGCAGAAGAAAGCAGAAATAGCACATGTTTACTCAATTAGGCTTAAAGAAGCAGAAACTAGCACAAAAAAGTGGAAATTATTTGGGAAAAAGGCAGAAATTAGCAACAACAAAAAGCTGAAATATAGCTTCAAAAAGACGCAGGAAGAAGGAATAATCAGCAGAAGTTGAGAGTGCACATTTATTTTTTGCTGAATTAGGCTTTAAAAATTGAAATGAGTGCAAAAAATGTGGAATTAGCTGATAAAAGCTAAAATTAGCATAAAACAGCTAAATAGTAGCTGAACTAGCAGAAAAATTAAAACAGCAGAAATAAGCTGAAAAGAGCATAACAAGCTGAAATTACCAGAAATAATTTAGAAGCACAAAAGTGTTGTAGTTAGCAGAAATAATCTGAAAGGAGCAAAAAACAGCTGAAAACAACTGAAAAAATGTTTACATTTTTAAACAAGCCCAACTGTGTTTTTTACAGCTGTTTTGGGATTCAGTTTGGTTTGGTGGGCTCCTCAGACTGAAGAAGTCCTTCGGATGAAGGATGAAATATCTCAGCAACTAAAGAAACCATCCAGATGACCTGACTGAACATTGTTGGATGAAATGAGCTCAATTAATTTTCTATGAGAAAAAAAATGTCAGAAAAGGCTAAATATTTCAAACAGCTAAAGTTGCACCAACACTAAAAGTCAAAGCAGGATTATCCTGAAAGAGCTGAACGTTTTGATTTATGATTTGTTGAAATAGCACAAAAAATGCGGAATTAGAATTGCACCGTTAAATGTACGGAAGAAAAACGGCTCACAGTGAACGTTTCATAAACATTCAGACAATAAACACCTTAGTTTCTCATGGACACAACAGCTCCTCTTTAAAACTTTAGTTCTTTATAGTACCAGCACTGAGATTTTTGCTGTCGAATATGAAGTTTATAAAAAATGTTGGATTGCTGAAACCACTTTAAAAGATTATGTAATTTGTTTCAGTCGGTGTTGAGTGATTTAAGTGAATTGCTGCATAATTCTCTACAAGCCCATTATTCATTTTCTTGTTCTCTCCCACACCGTCCAGTTCAGTCCACTTTCAGTTGTGCTCCATTTATCAGCCTTACCGTTCTAAAATAACTGTATCAACGCAGAGGAAAACAATAAAGCATCTTTCTATCGGCTCCGTCGTGCTTTTACCCCATTCTGTCCCAGTTTAATAAACTTTAACTGAATTTAGTTTAGTGTTGTAGTGTAGGCACGGCTGCTGTATAAACTCCTTTATAAAGCTGACCAGTTCACTGAATCAATAATAAACAATTTTTCTCTCATTTTGTCTCTTGGTAAATCCAATTACCTTGTTTGTCTTGGATAAGCAATGAATAGTATCAATCATCGGTGTGTATCACATTATGAGCTCCGTGTATCAACGTTTTTTTGTTGGGTTTGTGTTTCTTTATGTTTAAACGCTGAAAACATTTTTGTACATCTGAACTAATCAAACACAGTTTTACACTTTACTGAAACTTTATATTCGATTAAAACGTGCAAAAACAGCAGGAACATAAACACAAAGTTGTGATTCCAAATGCTGAAATGTTACTTGTCTGTCTTAAAGTCAAATGTAAATAATACTTTCCTCTCTTCTGTTTCATCTTTGGTTTTTAGTGCTTTAAAAAGTGTTGAATTCAAGTTATTCAGCCTTTAACATAACACGAAGCCGGCTGATGCAGGATAAACTGGTCTGGAGATCCTCCTGCCAAACACTGAAAATCATCTGGACCCACTTCAGTTTGCTTATCGTTCACGTAGAGGAGTGGAGGACGCATCAGGAACTCTTAAATATGATTTGAGGACACCTTGAAGGCACAAGAACTTTTGTAAGATTGTTTTTTTATTGACTTTTCATCTTTTTAACTGTATCAGCCCCACGTTAGCAGAGAAACTACAATGTCTGTACAGTCCGGACTCCTCATCTGTTGGCTGGTGGACTTTTTAACTGTTCGGTCTCAGCGGGTGAGGGTCAGCAGGGTTCTCTCTGATGTCCTTTTGTTTTCGGTGCTCCTCAGGGCTGCGTTCTTTCACCCCTTTTATTCATTTTATATACAAACGATTGTCGCAGCCAGTTCTGCAGCGTCACATTTTACAGTTTGCTGATGACTCCGTCATCCTGTTCCTTCTCAGCAGTGAAGACCCAGACCCTGGTCCTGTGGCCGGGGACTTCACTGAATGGTTGAGACTTCCTTTTTAAAGTTAAATGTTTCTAAGACAAAGGAGATGGTCATTGATGTCAGAGAAGACTCTTCAGCTGCAGCTCATTGACGGTGAAGCTGCTGAGGTGGTGCATCAATACAAACATCTGGGGACTGTTCTGGATGACAAACTGACCTTTGACCCCCATGTGGACTCACTTTGTAATCAGGTCCACCAGAGAATGTATTTTTATCAGAAGCTGTGGTTTTAATGTTGATTCTACTTTTATGAGAATGTTTTATTGATTCTCTTTTAACGTTCACCTTCGTCTGTTGATTTGGACTTCTGCATGCAAAAACAGGAACAAACTGTCGGGGATTGTCAGGATGTGCAGCAAAACTGCTGGTATAGTCCTACAGAACCTCAGTGACCTACACAAGGTGAGGTCAGTGGATAAGACCAGGCTGATTCTGGCAGATCCTGATCATCACTCCATGGTGAGTTCAGGTGTCTTCCTTCTGGACGCAGGTAGCTGCTGCCCAGATGTAGAACGAACAGACTAAAACATTCATCCCTGTAGAGATCAGGCTTCTCAATGAACATTGATGCTTTCTGTTATTTTAACGTCTCAATGTCTTGTCTGGATGTTTTATATCTAGTGACTGTGAAACAAATTGCCCCTCGGGGATAATAAAGATTCTTGAACTTGAACAGACACTGCAGTTAAACATACGCCGTAAAGTTTAACAGCGAGTCCGGTAATCACTGTGTGCAGGTCAAAAGTCTTTCTGAGTGGCCACTGAACAACAAACAGTTTGATACTTTATTTGATTTGTTTTGATATTTGTCATTTTATTAACAATTGCTGCCAGAAGCATTTGAATCATTGGATAGTTGAATGAAAACCTCAGAAAGTAATCAAAGGTGGACATCTTAGATTGATTATCTTTTGGAGTCAATCAAATCAAAGAAGGCCACCACAGCTAATCGACCATAGTAACACAAAAATGGCTATAACGCAGCTGATTTCACTGAGCTAAGGTTTGATGTGGTAGTAGCTGAGAATCATTCTCAACACAAACTCTGAGCACTAACACAGAGAATATCACAATGTTATTTTTTTCAGGTTTGAGGAAAACACCTCTATAAGCCCTTTAGCTTAATAAGATTTTAGTTTAAAAGTTCGGCATGGAAATCAGCAGATGACGTGCACTAATTTAAAGAATGCCAGTCCTTTTAATTAATTAATTTATTTGGTAGAGATGTGCAATTTCTGTTTATGACGAGTCAAAATGAACTCTTGTCAGAAAATTTCTGCTTCTTTGTTTAGCTTAAAGGACGATTTAATACCAATATAGAATACTAGACTTTATAATGAATAATAAGGCAGAAATACTTTTGTTTGTAACTTTACTGTATTGTTTTGCAGTATGTTGTTAAGACTTGTATGAAAATGTTAAACTAATTTAATATTTGTTCCATGCTTTTTTTTTTTTTGGTTTAGAAATTTTCTTGTGATTCTGCTTACATGTTTGTTTGTTTTTAGCAATAATTGCTTTTTAAAACATACCTATCATTGACAGATTCGGGATTTTTTTTCTGGTTATAACGGAAAACAAAGCCTGCTGTATCCGCGCTGTAAGCGCGTGGAGGCTTCCTATTCGCTCACAGCATTGGCGCCTTGGTTGCTAGGTAACAGCGCAGCGGGGCATTCCAGGAGTTGTAGTCCAAAAAAACGAGACTCCGCTTCGGTGACAGTAACAAGTTCAAGGTATAAAACTACATATCCCAGAATGCTTGTAATCATAAAAAAGTCCGCCCCCGTGTATCATGTGACACTCGGTACCTCTGAGCTACCATAATAAAGAATTGTTTGCGTTGCTAAATTTGGTGAAAAGAAACTTCTCGGCTCCCGCATTAACGCGTAGCTACCGTCAGAATGAGGCTGCGGTGTTTCGTGTGGGCTCTGTGTCTCGGAGTCGGTGCTCTTGCGGGAGGAAAATACTCCCGGGATGTCAACGAGCCCAAACCGAGCGGCAGCGAAGACAAGCACCTGGTGGAGTTTAGGATAGCTAAACTCCACCAGGTGTGGGAGAAAGCTCAACGGGTACGTACGACAACAAGCTGGAGCTGCTGTTACTCTTTAGCTAATGGAGCTAAGCGACCGTTAGCAGCCACGCGAGGCCGCTCAGGGCAGTTTGTGAGAATAACGGTGTTTTTGTGCTAAAACCACAATATGTCTGAACAAATCGTGTAAAAATGTCTTTATGGTGATTAAGTGATGTGCGTCGTGCTGTGCCCCAACTGATTCACAGAAGGACAAGTGGACATGTGATGCTAATCTGAATGAACTCGATTAGCATCACAGTTCTTTTGTCACTTTGCAGCATTAAAGTTGTGATTGAACATAATGCTAAGAAGAAAAATCATTGCCAATTTAGATAAACAAGCGATTATTGTTCTGTAAGTTGGGAAAGGTTACTCATGCAAGGAAAAAACAAGTTTTAACAACCAGAAGTGCAGAAGTTCACCCCATGGTCAGACCATGCAGTGCTCAGAGACATTGCCAAAAAGATACAAGAGTTGCATCTCAAACTGTATGGGTCTAAGTTTCTATCCGTCCATCCATCCATCCATCCATCATCTTCCTCTTGTTCATAAGTCGGGTCTCGGGGGCAGCATCTTGAGCAGGGAGGTCCAGACATCTCCCTAAAGTCTCCTCTTCCAGCTCTTCTGGGAGGACTCCAAGGTGTTCCCAGACCAACAGAGAGATGTAGACTCTCCAGCGTGTCCTGGGTCTTCCCCGAGGTCTCCTTCCAGTCAGACATGCCTGAAGCACCTCCCTAGGGAGGCACCAAGGAAGCACCCCTACCAGATGCCTGAACCACCTCAACTGGCTCCTCTGGACGTGGAGGAGCAGCGGTTCTACTCCGAGTCTCTCCTGATGACTGAACTTCTCACCCCGTCTCTAAGGGAGAGTCCAGCTACCCTGCAGAGGAAACTCATTTCAACCTCCTGGATCCACGATCTCATTCTTTCAGTCTCTACCCAGAGTTCATGAGCAGAGGTGAGGGGAGGAACGTAGACTGACCGGTAAACAGAGAGCTTTGTCTTACAGCTCAGCTCCCACTTCACCACAACGGACCGGCACAGAGTCTGCAATACTGAAGACGCTGCACCAATCTGTGTCAATCTCGCACTCCATTCTCTTGAACTCCACCACTTGAGGCAGAACCTCACCCTCGACCCAAAGAGAACAATCCACCCTTTTCCAACTGAGGACCATGACCTCGGATTTGGAGGTGCTGATTTACCGGCCAGGCAGCACGGTGGCGCAACTGGTAGAGCTGCTGCCTCTCAGCGAGCAGGTCCCTCGTTCAAACCCCGGTCCAGGGGCCTTTCTGGGTGGAGTTTGCATGTTCTCTCCGTGCATGCGTGGGTCTTCTCCGGGTGCTCCGGTTTCCTCCCACATACCAAAAACATGCATGTTAGGCTGATTGGTAACTCTAAATTGTCCCTAGGTGTGAATGAGAGAGTGAATGGTTGTTTGTCTCGTTTGTCTCTATGTGTCCCTGTGATGGACTTGCGACCCGTCCAGGGTGTCCCCCGTCCCTCGCACAGTGATTGCTGGACATGGGCACCAGCGACCCCCGTGACCCAAAAGTGGAATAAGCGGGTAAAGAAAATGGATCGATGGATGGATTTACCGGCCTAATTTTTATGATAAATGTTAAACTTTGTTATGATTAATTTAGAAATTAACTGAACAAGCGTGGCTTGTTTGAAAGGGTTTCCACTAAATGTTTCTTCTCTGAAAATAATACGGCAGCAAAAGTTGAGTTTTACTGGTACAAATACCGTTTGTTAGGCATGGTGGTGGAAGGTTGATGATCTGGACTTTTTTGTGCAGCCACAGGACCTGCAGGACCTGAACGCCTCGCGGCCGCTGAACTCCTCTGCACCTTTCTGAGACCTGAGCTTTAGTTTGGCGTGCATTTTTAAATTCCCCTAGCTATTTGGATTCATAGGACAGTGTAGACACAAAAAAACAAACATTGTTTCTAACAAATTATAAATTAAGTTATACACAACATGCTTTTATAAAGTTAAAATCAAAGAATAAAAGGACAATAAGTCCAAGATGAACTAAATAAAACATGGTGCCAGGAGGTCAATGTCCCCATATGAGGACACGGATCTTGTGAATTTTCTCTGTTCAACAGTTGAAATTTGACCCAAACTACAGGAAGTCATGCGTGAATATAATAACTCCAAGTGCATGAGCACATCTCCACGAGAACAGGTGACAACGGCAAGGCATGCGAGGTTTCCAAAGATCCAGACAAAGTCCAGGTCCAGTTAATAAATGTTGAAGCTTTTAAGAGATTTTTACGTAAATGAATGTCTACAAGACTCAATGAACCGAAGCAATTTAAAAACGATCACCAAAAGGAAGTGACTGTCGTAGAAAACAATCATTTCAAGGTGACTTCAATGTCATTTGCATCGCATGTGATGCATGAGGTGGAATGAAATTGTGTACTCAAGGTCCCAGTTACACCCAAAAATTGCAATAACATAAAAGTATTTAAAAAAATAAACGGTATACAATAATAATATAATGTGGTGTATTAAAGAGCAGCCTGAACACGCTTTAAAACTGTTCAATTACTTCATGTATGTGTCTATAAATAGAATAAATGTCTAGAAGTATTTTTGAATTGAAGTAATTTTTTGTTGAACATTTAGAGGTGAGATACATAATTTGAGCTTGTCTAAGATTTATTTTCTACAGTATTATTTCTTATATTTCTGATTTTGTTGTGATATATAAAACCTTATTTGTAGTTTTTGCTCTTGTAATTTTAACTTTATTTTTAATGGTACTTTGAACAAACTGGAAAAGAGTCTTATTGGGAGCATTTCTCCGTAAATGAAATATGTAGCATGACGCTGAATGATTTTAATGTTAAATTCTATAAAACAAAGCACATTTTTGTCACTCAACCAAGTTTAGTTATTTAACCACCCATAGTTAATTGACCTGGTGTCAAAACGGAACAAAGACCATATCCTCTCTTCCTCTGTTGTTGCTGTTTTCTGCCTTTTTCAGATTAAAAAACATTAAAAATGACTCTCTTCAAACTTTCTGTTTCCGTCAGACTAACTCCACGTTTTGCTCGTTTCGCTTCAATAGATGCAGCTGTCCCCGGTCCGGCAGGCGGAGCTGCACAGTGACCTGAAGATCCAGGAAAAAGATGAGCTGCGGTGGAAGAAAATGAAAGTGGAGGGTCTGGACGACAACGGGGAGAAGGAAGCCCAAATCAGACGCAACTTCAACGGTGAGACGATGTCGCCTCGTTCAGTCAGGAATGGAGTCGTGTTCTCACTTGACCTTTTGCAGTTTGTGAAATAATTTAAAGCTCTAAAAAGCTGCTAATTAAGGACATGAATGTGTTAGCAACAATTACATAAAACATTAGGTAGTTCCTAAATTAAAACATCCATTAAAAGTTATAGAATCACGTAAAGTAAGCTAGATAAATATGAAATTAAAACTATGAGGTGGAATTAGTTTAGTATTTTGACCACTTTTTATCCTGAGACAATAATTCGACAGTCTCTTTGTATCTTGTGTTTTATTGAGGGATGCATCTGACTGTTTAAAGGTTAAGAGAGTGAAGATTCTGCCAAGTCTGAAAATTCATTAGTGTTGCCATTTAAAGCTTTAGAGAGATCTGCCGTGACGGATGATCTGGTTTTATTTCAGCGACGTGCACAGAATGTGAATGAAATGACCACCGGTGGTCTTCTTTTGGTTAAAGCTTGACAAACCAAAGCAAAAGGATCGGAATCACATGCTTGATTTCAGAGAAGAGTTTGTTCTAAATTAATATAGATTTTAAAGTGACCCTTTTTTTTTTTTTTTTGCTGTTGAGCTTGTTGGATAATCTTTTATTTTGTTTTTATTTCAAAAGTGGCATTGAAACCTAAAACTGATGTTCTGTAGCTATCCCAAGATTGTTCTGATTAAGCTGCGTTATAGAAAAAGATTATGACAGGGCGTCGAGGGAGGAGGTGTGGTGTTGCATGGAACTCTGAAGAGGCAGAGAAGGATGTTGGACTGGTGCAGGACATGTATGAGGACAGCAGGACATGTATGAGGACAGCAGGACATGTATGAGGACAGCAGGACATGTATGAGGACAGCAGGACAGTGGTGAGATGTGCTGTGGGAGAGACAGATAGCTTCAAAGTGGAGGTGGGAGTGCATCAAGGATCAGCTCTGAGCCCCTTCTTGTTTGCTCTGGTGATGGAGCGACTAACAAATGAGGTCAGGCAGGAATCCCCGTGGACTGTGATGTTTGCAGATGACGTGATCTGTGGTGAGAACAGGTGGAACAGTGAGGCTACAAGGAGCAGAGGTCACAAAGGTGCAGGACTTCAAGGACTTTGGGTCCACTGTCCAGGAACATGGGGAGTGTGGTGAAGAAGAGAGTCCAGGCAGGATGGAGTGATGGAGAAAAGTGTCAGGAGTGATTTGTGACTAAAGGGTGTCAGCAAAGGTCAAAGGAAAAGTTTACAAGACAGTGGTGAGACCAGCTATGTTGTATGGTCTGGAGACAGAGACATGGACAAAAAGACAGGAGACAGAACTGGAAGTGTCAGAAATGAAGATGTTGAGGTTCTCCTTAGGAGAGACAAGGATGGAGAAGATCAGGAATGAGATCATCAGAGTTACAGCACAGGTTGAACAACTGGGAGATAAAGTTAGAGAGGACACACTGAGATGGTTTGGACGTGTCCAGAGGAGGGACAGTGGTTTGGACGTGTCCAG